AAAAAAAAAAAAATCTGCTAAAGGAGCAGAAACCTGGCCAGAACCCAGCCACTGTGAGCTCTGGAATGGCCTAGTGGATTCAGGGAACTGCATCCATAGCACCTGCTCCTCTGTGTTGAAGGAGTGCCCCCTTATCCCTGTATTTTCGAGACCTGCACTGTGCACGACAGGGCAGGCAAACCACCATGTTCATGGGGGTCCTCGTTGGCAGTATACAGTCTGGGCCCTGGGTCTGTGCACCTGAGCTCCTGAGGGTGGCTTTTGGTGTACGTACTGAAATAAAATGGCAGCGCTGAGTAATTGTGGGCTTCCCGGTAGGCGATCAGGTTGATTTCATGTTGCCGCTGCTGGGCCTGCAAGCGATGCTTGGCTCGGCGGTGGTGGCAGACGCAGCAGCAGCTCAGGATGATGATGATGGTCCACACCAGCCAGAACCCTAGGGGTAGAGGAGGCAAGACAGAAAGGCGTGCACAAACAGTGAGTACCAGCCAGAGGAGGCAGCTCCCAGAACAAGGAGATCCCTGGACAGTGCCCATGTGGTTGAAATTGGAGCTGTCAGGCCTCACCCAGTTAATTCACATTTAAGACCTGTATTCAATTTTCATAAACGTTTGTACCAGAGTGAAAGACACATGGATGTAAGACTGATGACAGCAAAGGAGGTCATTTACTCCAGGGTCCCTCCAGGGATCTTGAGTTCCTGGGTCTCTGGAGGCACCCTGGGGAAAGCCATCTCTCCAGCAACACTGATCAGTCCTCCTATAGTTTAGGTTTTATAGGCATCAAATATGCTCACCTTTTAGGACACTGTCCTCTTCCTCTCTTAAGAGATCTCTGAGAAAGTGTTTCAGACTTTCTTGGTGCCCCTCTCCCCACCTCCCTCCACGACTCAGGAGATCAGCAATTGCCAGGGGCCTCGGAGGTGCCTCCTGATAAAGGAATTCTTAGGGTTCTCTTAATATAACAGGGGCTTTTCTCTACCACGTATGTCTCTGTAATACAAGAATCAGGGACTCTTCTCTACCATGTATGCCTCTGTAGTACAAGAATCAGGGGCTTTTCTCTACCATGTATGCCTCTGTAATACAAGAATCGCTGAAGTTACAGGTGGAAAAATTCTAATTGCCTCAGGTCCACCTCTTCCCTAGAGAGTGAAAATGACTTCCTTTGCTCTGATATAATCTAGTACAATTCCATCTTCCACTGCCACAAACAATCTGCTCCCACCTCCCTTTGGCCTGCACTTGCATGAGACTCAGGGCCACTAGCAGCCGCCCCTTCTTTCTCTCTGCTCCAGGGCAGGGTGGAGGGACAGAAGATGTGGCTCACAGCTTTCAATTCCCACTATGCCATCTCTTGGATCATACTCAGAGAATCTCAGCAAACCCCAATATAAGATCCGCTCCCCAAATTTCAAATGTATGCAGAAAAGGCTTTCAAATATTTTTAAATTAACAAGCAATTTTGCTTTAAAAAAAAAAAAAAATATATATATATATATATATACACACACACACAATCACACACACACTCACACATACACATGTATAGGGAGGGAAGTGAAAGGAAAAACACAAAAATAATGACATCTTTAAGTAGCAGGACTGTGAGAAATTTAATCACACACATACACATGTATAGGGAGGAAAGTGAAAGGAAAAACACAAAAATAATGACATCTTTAAGTAGCAGGACTGTGAGAAATTTAAATTTTCTTCTCTCCACTATTTTTTTTCTTTCAAATTATAAAACTAGAAACAAATTAAGATTTTAAAATATCTGTGACTACTAATGCTTTGGAAGCACATATACTAAAATTGGAACATACAGAGAAGATTAGCATGGCCCCTGCACAAGGATGACATGCAAATTCATAAAGTGTTCCATAATTTTTTTGGAAATAGATAGAGGTAGTGGTTACACAGTATTGTGAATGTAATTAATTCTATACAATTGTATAACTAAAAGTGCTTAAAATGGAGATTCTTATGTTATGTTTTACCACAAAAAAAAGTAAAATAAAGTGTCTGTGACTAATTTTATTTTTGTTGGTTTTTATCTTTAAAAAATTAATAAATTAATTTCTGCATAGGTTATGTTCCTCTGGGAATGTAACCATATAATGAAATAATTGAGGGCCGGCCCGGTGGCGCACTGCTACAGTGCGCCGCTTGGGAGCACGGTGGCGCTCCCGCCGAGGGTTCGGATCCCACATACAGACCGGTTCCCGCTCACTGGCTGGGCGAGGTGTGGGGGCAACGCTGAGGGTTGCGATCCCGTTGCCGGTCCCGGTCCGGTATGGGCGCGACATTGAGGGTTGTGATCCGTTGCCGGACACGAAAAAAGACAAAAAGGAAAAAAAAAAAAAAAAAAAGAAATAATTGAATCATTTAAAAAATTATTCACAGAATATTACCTTTGACATAGTTTCTGATATTAAATGAAAAAAACAGATTATAAAGCAGTATAAAATATCATCCCAAAGTTTTCTTTATTTTTTATTTTGTTTTGTCTTTTTTCCGTGTCCGGCAATGGATCGCAACCCTCAGTGTCGCCCCCGTACCGGGCCGGGACCGGCAACGGGATCACAACCCTCGGTGTTGCTCCCGCACCTCGCTCAGCCAGTGAGCGGGAACCGGTCTGTATGTGGGATCCGAACCCTCGGCGGGAGCGCCGCCGCGCTTCCCAAGCGGCACACTAGCGCAGTGCGCCACCGGGCCGGCCCCCAAAGTTTTCTTTAAAAATGTATATAGGGACAGAAAAAGGAGAAGGCTGGTCAGGAAGCTAATCATGACGTTATTCTGGATGACAGGACAGTAGATTTTCTGGTACCAGCTCCTTCATTTTTGCTTATCTGCATTTCCTAATTTTTCTAAGATAAGCATGTATTTCCTTGTAGTAGAAAAAATGTTTTTTCTCAATAAAAAGTTTATCTGGGGAATAATTTTAAGATGAGTTGTTAAATGAGAATAGATTATATTATTGTTCATTTCTTCTCTATTCCTGAATAACTTTAATTTGTTTCCATTATAAAAACTACATGTATTTTTTTAATCATCTGCTTTGTAATTATAAATTTGTGCTTAAAATTTTTTTTAAGTATTTCCAGATGTATCTCTTTCCAAGCTGAGTTAAATCAAGTTAACATTGTTAAAAAAAAAGAAAACATGCCTCCCCCTCCCCCAAACAGACTTGTAAACGAATATATCCCTGATTTTTTTCCGCATTTGTATACACATAATATTCCAAAAGATCTCACTGACATTCAGGGTGTGGTGTCTGGCAACAGCTCTTTCTCTGTCTCCCTGGGGTATCCCTGCTGAGTCTCCCCACAAAGCTGCCCTCTACCAAGTGAGACGGATGTGATACAGCCTACCAGACCAGGCTTGCCCGCCGCTCTATGCCAGGACACCTAATTGCTTTCAGCAGACGTCAATGTTCAACCAAACCTTCATGCTGAGGCCTGATAACAAGAGAACAGGCAGAGGACAACCAACGGAGGATTTTTTCCCTTTTACCCATCAGCAGACAGGAAAACCCCCATTCCTAACCAGAGAGCATAAGTTGAAGTTAGAAGTCTTCCTGTTAGTCCTTCCCAGATTCACTACTGCAACTTGCTTAACTTAGCTTATGTTTCTTTCCCTATGAGTGTCAGCTATCATAAGACTAAAAACACTGTTAGAGGAACCCTTGGAGGAGGAAAGAGAGGATAGAAAGGAACTATGGGAATGAACTGGCTACCGGATGTGTTTACATCACATCTCCTAGTGTGGGGCTGGGCTAGAGGGAGGAGCATGATGCATTCTGCCTAAGAGCCTTGCTCCATACCTATTTTGGAGGCAAGTCTAGACGATTCTGGGATGACGACTATTTTGTATTACCTATACTTCTCTTACTTCAGCATAATCTCACAATCCTTTATACTTCCATGTTTTTATACTTTTAAAAGTACATTGTCTCATCTGTTCATCAGATAATCAGCATCTAACTCTACTATTTCTTATACCCCACTAAGTCATTTTTTCAGTAGCTTTATCTAAATATAAATCAATTTCTAATTTTATGCTGCAATATATAGGATCTAAGGCAGTATTTCTCAGTTTTTATACTGTTATTTTAAAAAATCCATTCTTTTGGGCCGGCCCGGTGGCGCACTGCTACAGTGCGCCGCTTGGAAGCGCGGGGGCGCTCCCGCCGAGGGTTCGGATCCCACATACAGACCAGCCACTCACTGGCTGAGCGAGGTGCGGGCGCAACACCAAGGGTTGTGATCCCATTGCCGGTCCCAGTCTGGTACGGGCACGACACTGAGGGCTGCGATCCGTTGCCGGTCACGAAAAAAGACAAAAAGGAAAAAAAATAAAAATAAAAATAAAAATCCATTCTTTTAATAAGAAAAATCTCAGGCACTGGTTTTCATGTTCATGAAATAATTCTGGTTCTCCTTCCCTCTTCTGTGCATGTAGGTAGGCTTGAACTTTCTGGCCCCTCACAACTGGGTGAGGCTCTGGGACTAATTCTAACTGATGAATTGGGACTGGAAGTGATATACATCACTTAGATGCCAGAACATTTCTTGCTGTTGTGAGAGACCCTTCATTGGTCTTCCCTCTGCCATGACAATTGGCAATGTTCCAGATGTTGACTTCAGGTTCAGTCTGGATCCCAGAGGATGATGAAGTGGGAACAAAGCTCCCATCCAACCTTTTTTTTTTTTTTTTTTTTTTTTTCGTGACCGGTAAGGGGATCGCAACCCTTGGTGTGGTGTCACCCGCACCACGCTCAGCCAGTGAGCGCACCGGCCATTCCTATATAGGATCCGAACCCACGGCAGGAGCGTCACTGCGCTCTCAGCGCTGCACTCTCCCGAGTGCGCCACTGGGCCGGCCCTCCCATCCAACTTTTAATGGACAGTATGAGTGAGAAATAAACATGTTGTTTTAGGCCCTTAGGATTTGGACTTGTTTGTTTCTGCAGCATATCCTCGCCTATCCTGACTACTGTGGCATGTTTATAGGCTTTTCTGAGGGAGAGGATTAAAAGTGCTCATCGGATTCTTAAAGGAATGCTTGATCCAGAAAAAGGCTATGATCCACTGAACTAGAAGTATATTAGAAAAAGAGGACTTTTTTCTTTTTTTTTAAGTGAAATTAGGAGGGGCAAAAGGAGACTGAAAGAAGAGACAACTGGAACACATACCTTTGGCACAGTTACCTTCATCACGTCTAACATAGCACGAGAAAACTCATATGCTTATTGGAATTCTACCAGCCTACTTCTTTTTATTTGATATTATGGGTAGAAAAACTATCCCTACCATGTATCAGCTCTGTGATGTTATATTAGTCTCAAACCGGGTTCTGATTTCTTCATTTTTAATAGGACCACAAATGAATCAAAACTTTTGTGTGAATCAAAACTGGGGGAAAACTAACT